GTGGTCTTGCTGCTTCTCTTCGTGTTACATCAAGACACACACATGCTCTTGGGCTTGTTTGGTGCCTCTGGGTGAGTCCACAGAGGCTGACAGGGTTTGCAAGAGATACAGCGAGGGGTCTGTGCTCAAGGGGACTGAGGGCAGAAGGACAAATCCACTGCCTTAAAACAATGTGTGATCCAGTTGGGAAGGCTGGGAAGGGGCAGTCATGTGATATTAGATCTGGGGAGATAAAAGGCCTCAGGACTGTGGAGGGTCTCTGGAAGAACAGAGGAGCAATACCAGCTCTCCTGAATCCTGCCCCATACAGAAAGCTAGCAAGTGGACCCAACCATACCCAACCAAATGTGTGCAAGTGTCTTGCCACATGTTTTCCTTACCTGGATAAGTCAGGTAAGTTTCCAGAAATCTGTTGTGATCATTGTAAATTGTTCGTGCCATACTGGGCCAGGCTTTTGAGATGCAAAGAGGTCCTGAGACATCAATTTTTTCAGAAGGACATTTCCCTGTAAAATTATTATCTTTTAGTAACCATGGCTGAAGTAACCTTTTAGTAACCTTGGATGTTTAGCTACTGCCTGTCTAACAACCCTGTGATGGAAATGTCAGGAAGGGCAGAGAGGAGGATCCTGTGTGGCTCACTTTAGCAGGACAGGCTTAGTCCCTCCCAGCATATGTCTGCAAGAAAATGCCTCCCATGGTGGGATGCAAAACCTCTCCAGGGAGACTAGCTGTCCCTGCCTAGCCCTGTCCTTCCTGGAAAGATGTGCCAGGGAGCCCAAACACAGCCTCTCTTGTCAGGACAGTGCAAGCAACTCAACTTCTGCACTAGCTGGAAGACTAGCTTCCCTGTTGGGCTGGGAGCAATCAATGAGGCCATGGTGGAGCAGCTGGGGATGGTTTGCCATGAAGCATTGCAGCCCATCTCCTCATACTGAGACTTCCCACCACCCACCATAGCAGAGTTCTGCTGTCTCTCTGCCTCCAAACAGGGTTTTTTTCTGCCTTTTCTTCAGGCCTTATATAGGTAGTTTTTAAAGGTAGAGTTTGCAGGATTCCTTAATGTCATTGACCAAATTCCCTTCTCTTCCTAGGCGGCACAAGAGAAGAGCAGAGAAAGGCTCTCCCTGCAAGTAGGGTAGTTTTCAGCCAGGGATACCTAAGGAATCAACGGTAGAGATGACAGGGTTTGTAGATCTCCTCTTTGCTCTTCAAGGTGCAACACCACTCACAATCTGTGGAGCTGGTATGTTTGGTGGACAGGCTGTACACCAGTGTGGGAGACAGGCACTCATCCCAGACCATACACGTGTTTTGTGTCACAGCCACCCTGAGCTCGGTGGGAACCTGCAAGGGCCCTGTCCCCCTGGGGACCTTTGGACCTACAGCCTCTCCACAGTCAGGCCCAAGCAGCCCAGTTATTCCACGAGTCTCTTATTTCCTATGCACCTCAGCATTTTTCCAGTCCCTGGAAGACGTTCGGTTTTTCCACCAGACCATTCCCAGATTCTGTTAGCAGGGCAGGTGACCGGTTGAACAAAGTCTGGCTTTCCGCTGGGGAGGAGCCCAGCGGCCGCAGGGGCGGCTCCCTGTGTGTCCCGGCAGAGCAATCAGCTGGCTAGTTTTGAAGATTGACACCCAGTTAAACCACTTAAAAAGGGCCGCACACGCCTCCGTGGCAAAGCCGGTTTATAAACGAATAAAGCCCGGGAAGAGCTCTCTTGGCTTTCGGCCTTTGTGCAGCTGGCTGGCTGGGCTGGGGTGCGCCGGGCTCTGCTGCGGCACCGGCCCCTTCCCGGGGAGCCCGCCAGGACCGTGCCGGCGGGAGCCATGCCGGTGCTGGGTGCAGCCACGAGCCCGGGAGCAGCGCTGGGAGCAGCGCCGGGAGCAGCCCCGCAGCCGGCTCCGGGGCAGGCCCGGGGCCGGGAGCCGCCGGGGCACGGCCACCTGGCCGGGACCGCGGGGCCCAAATCGGCACCGCCAGGACAGCGGCGCGCAGCCGTGGCTGCCTCGGCATGGCTCGCAATGAAATGTGCTTGTTTAGCTGCTTTTAGCCAGCCGTGCTGTGGGCAGAAGGACAAAAAGGGCAGCGGCAGCTTTCGCTGGGTTTGGTGCTCCACATGAAGAAAAGTAGTGAGTAGAGCCGGCAGCCAGCACGGCTCGCACGGTGTCGGCGGAGACCGCATGGGCAGTAGTGAGAGGCGCGGTGAGCGATCTCTGATGTAGAGCCTGGATGAGATCAACATTTCAGCGCTGCAGAACTCTAGAAAAACTGTTTCAACTGATGAAGCTTGAGAACAAACGAGCCGGCAAACACCAGTTCTCTCCCGAATCAAGAAAAGGAAAGGGTGAAGACACGTAGAGCAAACAACATGGGACACTGGGATCAGTGAAGGAGTCGAATTCTAGACAGGAGGGGATTGAGGAGATGCCTTAGTTTGGGTCTGAAATTATTTTGTAAGGCTATGGTGAAGATATATTTGATATATCAGACTTTGTTTATTCCCTGTAATTGGTGGAATGCATTGGGGGGAATGTAGCGTTCTAACCACAGCCATGAGCAGGAGCATCCATGTTGAAATAAGCAGATGTTGCAGCAGCTGTGATCCAGTGAAATTCTTGAGATGAGAGGAGAAACTTTGCCCAGGAATAGAAAGAAGAAAACTTCTGTTCCCAGAGATGAATGAAAAAAAATTTTTGCTTTTATACTACAGCAGCTCATCCTTAAAATAATAGCCCATAAGTTGACATGGCCTATGAATACAGTTGTGGGGAGGCTGCAAGAGATGGACTTCATGATTGCAAATTTGGCAGCTGCTACATGGAAATTAAAAACCATGAGAGAACTGTTTCTTGTGGAGAAGTCTCCATGGCATGGCAAGAGAGACTCCTTCCCTAAGAGAACTGAAGAAAGACTGTTTTAGAAGTGGCAAACTGACTGAAAGTCCCAGGTTTTGTCTCTTTATGTTTTCAGTGGGAAAGAAAAGAGGGTGTGGGGGGAGGAGAAGTGTTCTGAAGATTTATTCTGATTTCCTTTTTACATTTTTCTTTTAATTCTGTTAATAAAGCTTTCTTTGTACCCTTTAAAGTTTTGGGCTTGTTTTGCCCTCCTCCTAATCCATCACAGCAGGAAATGAGTAAATATTCTAGTGGATGCATTGGTGTTTGTCCAGCACAAAGCCCACTGCACCTGGTAACCCAGAATAGGCTTCCATTGCTCTTGGAGCTCACCTTGCTGGAAATCCCATGGCTGCCCTTCCCTCTCAACCAGCTCCTCTGCAGATTTAGTGTCCGGCTGCTGCCTCAGCTCCTCAGGCCAGCAGAGCCTGCAGCCTGTTCCTGGCAGAGGCTGAGCTTGCCTGGAGGTCTGTCTGACTCTGAACACCAAGGTGCATGTGATATGGGATGACCCAAAGCATCAGAGCTGCTCTGGATGCTGAAGTGACTTGTTCTTTCACCAGTTGTATGCTGTAACTTCTGCTCCAAGTACAAGCACACCCCTTTCAGTTTTGTATTTCACTGCAGTGAGACCCAAGTCCCATCTTTTCCATGCCTCACTGGGGAAGAAAGTGCAGACCTCTGGGCTGCTTTGGATCTCTTACCTCTCTCTGGCTACAGCATGACATCCAACTCCCTCTCAGCTTTGGCTGAATTTGCCCTCCTTGAACATTGGTGAGTGGACTCATACACAGTATTCCTGTTTAGTTTTATTCTTCTTCATATCTTTACAGAGAATGGCACATAAATCACAGATGTTGGATGACTAGAAGTTGTTACAGGTCCATATCTCAAACACCTCAATACTGAATTATTTTCTCACTGTATATACATTATTTACACTCCATGGGCTATCATCTAACACGTCAAACGATCGGGGGACAAAGACAAACAGGAGTTGGATGACTAGGCTTAACCTTTGATGGAAGAAAAACAGTAGCTCTGGGGAAAGGGTGCTCACAGCTGAAAGCAGGACAGAAAAGGTCACCTGGAAGCCACTGTCCTACAGCTTTTGGAGGGGGAATAGTGCTTTACTGCGATGGAAAGGTGATGGTGCCATGGAGTGAGTTTGGCTGTGTGGGTCGGCACGTGCTCCTATGGGATGTATGTACACATTATAGGGTGTATCAGGGTGGATGTGCATGGCTGTCATTCCCTTTAACACTCAGAGGGTGCACTGGACAAATTTAATTCAATAAATACATTAGGTGGATGGTGTTGTCTCACCTGGAATAATGTATTCAATAAATAAATTCACCATTCATCTCCTCTGCAGGGGTGTAGGGTTTTGGTGTTTAGGGCAGAGTCAGACCCAGCCCTGCAGGAGCCAGTGAAATGGGCTGAGGTCAGCTCAGGGTGCCAGGTAGGACCAGGGTGTCATGCCTGTAGGCTAAACCTGCCTCTCCCTGCCAAAGAGAGGCAAAACATAACTGCTCTTAAGCTGCAGTCCCTTCCCAGCAGACCTTAGTGCTGAGCAGGGAGAGATGGGTGGAAGGTGCAAACCGCCCTAGATGGATGGTCATCATGTCATGCAAGCACTGCCATGGGCTTGTCCTGCTGCAGCCTGGGCCACAGGCAGAGGTGATGGCCAGCAGAAGGTGGCGTGTCTGCCTGGGGCATGGTGGGACAGGGCCCAAGGGGAACGGGCCTGGGCAGCACTGGGCAGAGATGTGCACCAAGAAGAGGCATGGCACCAGGGAATAGGCTTGCTTCAGGATGGCAAATGGGGTTTGGGGCTGCAGCAGAAGGAGAAAGCTCCAGAGCCTGTCGTGAGGCTGAAGGACCAGAGCCTTAGTGTCATTGGTGGCAGTGATGATGTGACACTTCCCGGTCCCCCAAAAGGAAGGGGTGGGGGGGTGAGGAAGCGAGGGGCAGGGGTATGCTCAAGGGGAGCAGGCAGTGGGCACCCCTGCCAGGCAGCCCCAAACTCAGAGACCAGGGCCCCTCTCCCTGGCAGGGGTGGCCAGGGACACCTGGCAATCCAAGGGGGAACATGGCCCCCAGAGGACACAGTGTCTGTTGGGGCTGGCTTCTGTCACCTCTGTTCCCCCTAAATCAACTTCTCCTCCTTCTGCGATGAGTTCAACTTCTCCGTCTGTCTCTCATCCTCTGCCACTGCCGCCTCCTCCCCTGTCTCCGGCTTCCTGCCTGGAGCTGGGGTGTCCCCGGCAATGGTCCCCAGGACTTTGGTGCTGTGCTCCTGAGCTTTGGCCCTGAGGGCAGCAATGCTGTTTTCTCTCAGTTCCTCCTGGGAAATGGTGGTTTTGGGATCAGGACCCCTTTCTTCTTTGTCACCTTTGTCAAGCTTGGGCAGGGCCTGGCGCTCCACCTCTGTCTTCCTCCCCGCCTCAGCCGCTGCCTCCAGAGACTTTTTGTGCATCCCTAAAAAGAATTGTTGGTATTCGGGTTTAGAAAAGCGCCTGGGCATGGGAAAGCCATCTTGAACTGAAAACAGCAAAGATAAAGAGAGGCCAGAATTAAGGAAAAGCAGAAACCCTTGCTTCACACAGCAGTTATGGCGAGCCACTCGCTCTGGTCCCCGCACAAGGGCAGCCCAGCATCAGTGGACTGTGGCTGGTCCCAAAGGTCTATAATTATTCTCCCCTTCATTTCACTCTGTGAACCTGAAGCTAACTTGTTCCTGCATGGAGATGAGGGTCTCAGACAGCAGCATAGTTGCCTGAGCTTCACCAAGGCTGGGGAGGGAGATCCCTCATTATGAGGGATATTTCTATTTTTTTATCAAACCACAACCACCCTTCTGCCTCTCTCCATTTCACACAGACAGGACAGCCCATTGTCAAGATGCTAGATACTAGTTTGGGGCAGAACCAGCCTGGAAGATCAGAAAGAGGGAAGCAAAAAGCAGGAGTGTGACAGGGTAGCTGCTACCTCCATGTCTGCACAGAAAATCAAGTGAAACTTGGGCAAAGACAGAGCATTTGGGAGTCCTAGCACCCCATCCAGCATCACAGGGCTGGATGAGTGAGACTGGGATGACCTCCTGCCTTGGGTAACGATTGGAGCCCCTGTTCCAGAGCTGGGCATGAAATATGCTTGAGCCATGGGAAGGGAAGGTTAGCACCAGCCTGAGCATGTGGGCAAATTTGTGTCCCAGCCAGATTCTGCAGGTCATGATCCAAGGTCCAGCAGGAATTTGGGATGACTGGTCAAAGCCTATCGACAAGGGTCATTGGCAGATGGAGGCATCAAGGGTGGCAGGATAGGGGGACCTTCCCCTGCTACCCTTCACCTATTTTCAACATGACTCTGATTTCTACCTTGCATCCCCCTGTCTCTACCCTTTTGCCATCCCCTAGGAAGCTGGCTGCTCTCTTACCTAGGAGCCAAGGGGCACAGGACTCCATGATGCCATCCTTGGCAGACTTGAGGATGGATTCAGGCAGCGGGATGGAGTGACGCACCATGGCACCGTAGAGCCCGTACTCAGCCATCACACTGCTCCTGCCCCAGCACTTCTCCCTCTTCCGCCATTTGGCCCGGCGGTTCTGGAACCAAACCTGGAGCAAGCAACAAGGAGGGACATGGTTTTTGTGCGTGGAGAAGGCATGCCAGACCCCTTCCCACGTGGGAACATGCATGTACTCCTGCAGCATGATGAAAGCCGATGGGGGGATGCTTATCCCAAAGGCAATACAACCTCTTCCTCCATGCAACTGACATTGGGTATGTCTCCCTCCCTCCCTTGAAGGAGTGGAGAGGGCCAAGTGTGAAAGCAGGTCCCATCCCTCTCCACAGGCTGTAATTAATTTGCCATTGCAACGTCTTTTTTCTAGTGGCTTTTGGCTCTCGTGCCTGGGATTTCCTTTTATTATTTGCTGTGTGTCTAAGCAGCAGTACGCGGCTGCAGGCAGTAGTGCCTGCAGGGAGGGCTGGGATGAGGGCGGATGCTCGAAAGAAAGGGGAAGCTGCTCTGTGCACTTTGCCCTGAATTCCCAGTTTGAAAAACCCCTCATCTTCTCAGAAAATTGGCAGAATAATCTCTGAGCTGTGACCTGGGGGGCAGTGAGCAGAGAGGCAGGCAGCAATGGCAGGGAGGGAGTGATACTCGCAGAAATCTATTAGTGCTCTCTCTCCGATTTCCATTCCTCTTGTCTCCCTCACCCTCCTCCCTCCCCGGCTCCCCTCCCTTCTCCCCCCGAGCAGAGGCATCAGCTTTAGATGAAAAATTGCTTGAGGTCTATTCAGAAGGAGGCAAAGGAAGAGTCAGCCCCAGGGGCAGCCCAGGCCTGATTGAAAAATAAGTTAATTTCAGTTTGAATCGATGGGCCTCAGGCACTGAAATATCACGGGAAATTAAAGCAGCTGGTCCCCAGGGAACCACGCCATTGACCTGCGCTAATTAATGCCATGGAGTTACCAGGCCCCTCTCTGAGAGGCAGTCCCTCCCTCCCCATGGACACCCCAAACACCTCCTCATTTAACTAATTAGACTCACAGAAAATTGGGTGTTAATTTGTTTAGGATTTTTTTTTCTTTTCTATTTTTTTCCCTTCCTTTCCCGGAAAGTGCACTGCAGAATGGAAATGAATGTCGGGGTCTCGCTGGCAGATGGATGCTCGGGGTCACTCCGCAATCTTCTCCGACTTGATTGCTTGATTAGGTCGTTAGCACATTAAAAAAAAAAATTGCTTGCCGTCTGGCGCTGGCCTGATGAGTGGGATGAGGCGGGAATCGCCTGGGTAATTTATCTTTTTATACTGCAAAGAATTTGATTTCAATCTGCAGATATATGGAGGTGCCTTTGACACCTGTTTAACATTACAGAGCTGACAGCTTAACCCTCTCTTGTCCCACCGCTCGTAGCTGTGGGGGAGCTCAAGCTGCAGTGGGGAGCGCTGGGGTCTGTGCCAGTCCCCCAGCTCTGCCACGGGGACCGTAAGACTGGTGCCACAAATTGATGTCCTGGTCTCAGGTGGCAAGGTAATATCTCTTCTAGCTGTGCAGAGGAGAACTGCCCAGCACTGAAACCTTATGGTAGGGACAGAGCTGTGTCTTACTATCAGTGATGACAGCACCATTGGCCATTCCCAGGAGCCCAGCCAGCCTGCTCCCCGAGGCAGCTCTGTGGAATGGGTGGGGTGGTGGTCCCACTGGCTGTGATCCCAGCTTCTCCCAGCAGAAGACACTCTGTGCATGTCAGAGAGGATTTTACCAGGCAGAGGTAGGAGGCTGCTTCACCTCCCCTGCATGATAAGCAGTGTGATTTACACTTCCATACTGCGGATCTGTGACCCCTGGACCTCGGAGGGTTGCAAATCCTCCAGGGCCTAAGCAAAGACCCTCAGGAATGCAGAGCTGCCTCTCTTCACCCTCTCCTCCATGCCTGTGTGAAACATGGGTTTGCTTGGCTGTTCAGTCAGGAGGATGCTGGCAAAGGTCTCACTCCAGGTCATGCAGTCCTCCCATTCCCAGAGCACAGGGTGCAGAGCTGCAGACACCTCTTTACTGATGCTTTTACCACTTGCCCTTTCTCTTCCCTCCTACCCTGATGCCACGATCATATTCCTGCCTGCCTCATGCTCCTCTTCCTTTTCCCTGGCTGGGTCTCAGCCTGCCCCAGCACTGCCCACTGCCACTGAACCTGCTGCCCTGGAGCATCCCCTTTTCCATGGCAGTGTTACACAAATACTGGAGGCTACAGAGGCTTTGCCAGCTGGCAGCCCATTTTTGACTGGAGCTAATAGAAAATCTTCTATCAAAAAATGCTGATTCAATCACACAGGAAAAACTGTGTCCAGCCAGTGGAAGTGTAATCAAAATTATCTATAGCTTTCTTCTGAATGCTATATTTTAATCTCAGCTGCCTAAGACATGCAAAATCTATGCTTTAAAGCCAAATGAGAAAATGAAAATGGCATCAACATCTCACTAAGATTATTCTGAAGTTTCCAAAACCAATTTTTGTCATTTGATGGGAATGTCCTCTTGGTTTTGCTTAGGAAAAGTGAAAGTTTGAAATCCCAGAATGTTTAGCAGAACAGAAGTTGGGAAGACTGACCATCTAGCTTTAATACTAGGAACCATATCTTCATCTGAGGCATGAAATGAAGTGAAACTAATGGTGCTCAATGCTGTGTATTGCTGGGATCAGATCCCAGTCAAGCATCTCTGTCACAAGCTCATTCTGAGGAACACTGAATGATGAGCTCCAGCATGGCACTGGCAGCCCTCATGCCATTTCAAATCATCAGGTTTACCCCCTGTGTCCTGTTTTTGTGATTTTGTCCTCATTCAGATGGTTCCATCTGTGGGGCTTTCATTTATGAGATCTCAGTGATTTCTTCAAATGTATTGATGTGTTACCAAAGTTTTCATATGCCTTGATTCTGAGCTGAATCACACGATGATTTTAGTAACTCAGAGGTATTTTCAGCTGTGTTGGTACATCAGTCACAACATCCAAATATGCAGTTATTTATTATTGGCACCTCACTTTTCCAGGAGTGGGTTTCCCCCTTACACTTTACTCACCTTACACATCTCTTGTGGTTTTGGTATTCTTTGGCTGCTTATTGTCCTTGCTTGGAGACATGTACTCTACACCTTCCTGTGACTCTGTAAGATTTGATCTGCTTCAAACAATGTCTAGGTTTGCCCACATTTCCTCTTGCCCCTTCCCACCCTGTGGATTGGCTCAGCTTTGTGAAATGCGTTACTGACATTGCTCTGTACCCTGCACCTTCCTTCTCACTTATTTTCATCTGGTTCTCTGTTGCCCAGGGTATGGTGAAAAGCCATACCCTGCTTCTGCTTCCACATCTCATGGGCAGTGGTGAAACCTTCTGATTAATTTTAGACTGAAGCATGTCTTGTGTTTGTGCAAAGCTGTCATGATGTGATGAACAGAGATGTCTTTTGGACCAATGTATTACACCCCAGAAAGTTCCACACCTCTGTTTTCATACAAATACCCTTTGTGAAATCTGGTAAGCTTATTCCAGGAAGCCTATTCTCCAAAAATGGTAAACAGAGATAAGTGGACAGGTTTGTCTTGCAGTATTGCAAAAAGTGGGAATGTTTCTAACTTTGATCATCACCTAATACCTCCAGTGCCCACTACCCAAAGCAATAAAAGTTCAAGCACTCTGTACTTGACTGTCAGTTTTGGAGTGGGAGTCAAGACTGGCAAGGATAATCTCAACAATTTCCTCCTCTGAATCACAAATGACAACTGATACTTCTTCAGATTATTGATGATGCAGAAGAGCAAATTGTAGGAGGAGAAATCTCTCATTTTGCAAGGGGACATAAGACTTGACACATCCTTGTTATCCACATTCATCATATTCGTTTGTTTACCAAATCAGTGCCTGAAACATTGTCTGCTGAAGAGAAAAATTTCCCTGAGGTTAGCCATAATTCAGAAACCTGAATTAGTGAAGGGATATTTTAAAACATCTGTGGTATTCCTGTGTATTGTTTCTGGTTTTTTTCAACCTAAAATTTTCCACTGGTAAGACTCATTTTCTTGGCAGCTACTTTCCAAGCTAGGGTAAAAAGACAGGAGAATTTACGTAGGAAATATTTTCTTATTACTATTTAAAAATATACATTTCCCTGTCCAAGCATTCCTCATCTATTAAAGGAAAATTCCAGGCTTGATCACTTTGAAATTTTGCTTCACCAAGTCTCTCATCCTGCTTTGACAGAGCATTCCAAGAGGGGCATTTCCAGGAGCGTGTTTTATGGAGCGCAAGTCGGTCCCAGCCCGGAGCAGCAGGAGCTGAGTGCCCGCTAGATGGCCACAGGCAGATGCACGCCGGCACCTGCGGACACACGGACACGGACACACTGACACCCCAGCGCAGGCATTCGCCGGGCTGCAGGGAGCGGCTGCGCACAGCTGTTGGCAAAACAGCGCCTAAAGCAAGGAGCAAAATCCCAAGACCGCCAGAGTCACGCTGAGACCGCCGCCCCAGCACACGGACAGGCAGGTGCGTGTTCTTTGTCTGTCGCTGCCCCACTTGAAGCACGCTGGGGGGCCAAGCCAACATCTCCAGCTGCCCTCCATGTCCGGGGCCCTGTTGCTATCTCAGTAACCAGTTTCTCCTGACAAATACACTTCTCCCTTTCTACCTCCTCCCTCTCCAATCCAAGGCTTAACAATGATAGTGGTCAAAATTAAAACTCCTCTGATAAAACAGTGATGTACTCATCCTTATATCAGACAGGACCCATAGCCCTGGCTGGGGTCAGTCTGAAGAGAACGGCCTCATATCTTGCTTGGAATATGTCCCCACCCATACCCAGGAGTACTGGGGCTGTATAACCGACTGCCATGTGAGCATGAGGTCTGACTGTGCCCTGGGGCTTCCCCAGATCCCTCCGTTTTAGCAATCACGGCAGAAAAGCTTCCTGACTGCTGGTGGAGACTGCATCACTTGGAAACAGTTTACTGCTGTCTTTTCAAATGTAACGTGAAAGTTATTGGTACTGTTTATGGTGACATCACTTTCTATGGCTGGTGTAAAGTGGTTATGAAGTTAAATGAGAGCAG